CAATGTATTAATGAATACAACACAGTGACATACTGAGGAGGATTTTTCAAACCAGATCTTGACAGAGGATATAAATGATAGAGTTTGAACTAAGGTAGAAATTGAAATGAAATAGAAGTAGGAAGTGGATTTTTTTTAAAGGAAGACTTGTAGGAATAAGGGCTGTCTGTAGAGATTGGAGGATGGAGTTAAAGAAGTCTGCAGTTTTGAATTCAGATGGCTGGGAGAGCGGCAATATCATTAAATAATTTTTTGGAAAAGAAGTCTTGCACATATACCATTTTTTGTTTACCATGTTTGAAATAATAGGATTTTCAAACAAAATGAAATGGGCTTTTGGAAATGGGATAAAGGGGATGATTTGAAACTTGGAGTAGGCAAGATTCCCAAAGAAGTATGGTGACCCAAAGGGTACAGTATCAACGACAGAGAGGTGAAGTTTTTAGGGAAACGGAGGAGAAAGTAGAGCCAGAGAACAGCACAGATGAGCTGCCAGGGGAAACCAGCAGTGGCGCTTTCTGTGGGTGGAGAGTGTGAGTGTCCTTGCCGTGGTTCTGGGACTCGTTCCTCAACTTAGAGAGGAAGGATTCAGTTTATTATCAGCTATGACCTGCTCTGTGTAGGCTATAAAGTTGAGGAAGTACTCTAGTCCTACATTGCTAAGAGCTTTTTGCCATGGAACAGTGTTCAATTTTTTCTGCTTTTGAAATTATTATGACTTTTTTAGGCTTTCAACATGACAAATTGCATGACTGATTTTCTAATGTTGAAACATTTCTTCATAACTGTGACATATTATCCTTCTTATATTGCTACATCCTGTTTGCTAAGAGATACATCAATATTTATTTTTAAAGAAATCTGCATCTAGGTCTATGAGAGATTATCAGTCTGTGATTTTTTGTAAGGTCTTTCACTTTGGTATCAGGATAATGCTGGAGTCAATAAATGAGTTTAAAAATTCTCCACCTTCTTTTATTTTCTGGAAGAAATCTGTCAATAATCATCGGCATCACCTGTTTCTTAAATATTTAATAAAATACCAAGCAAAAGCATCTTGGCTTAGAATTTTCATATAGGGAGCTTATTTCTGTAACTTATTAGTAGCTTATAAGACTATTCAGAATATTGGAATTTTCCTCAATGAATTTTACTGCTTTGGTCTTTTAAGGACTTTATTTCTGATCTGAATTATCCATTTTTGCCACCAAGATGTGTAGATTACTATGAGCCCTTTAATGTGTATACCAGCTGTTATAACTCCTTTCCTTTAGTTTATTTATGTTTGTTTTCTTTTTACCCTAGTGTTTTCTCCACCCCTCTACTTTCTTTTGTTTATAGCTTCTTAGTCCGTAAAGTGGGTATCTTCTAGGATAGAAAAGAGGCAGGGTAAAAGTTCTTATGTATTGAAGCTGAAATTCTTTCAAACAAGTGCAAAGCGAGATCATAAGCTGAGGTGGGGAAATTTTGGCATCTTATGCAGAAGAGGTTTAGAATATTTGGGAATATTTAAAATATTAGGAAAACAAGGGATTAACATGGACTTCCAACTGTTAGCAAGAGCCCAGCTCTTGTAAGTAGTAATACTGCTTGGATGACTAAGATATACTATGATCAAAACTGAAGGTATTTATCCAAAATAGGTCCTAAAAATTGGAATATGTGAAAAAGTTATAATGGAATTATGGTGGTAGTTGCATAAATTAATATTTCAATTTCTATTTCAATAAAAACCAGCTACATTTTCCTCACTGAGTGTCTTAGTAGTTTTTCTTATCACCAATACCCAATACCTAACTCTTAAAACTTAAAGCAGTTGTTATTATTATTAGACTTTTTTTCATGGTAGCCATTTTCCTGGAGTAAGATGGTATACCAGCATAGTTTTAACTTACATTTCTCTGGTGGCCAGCAATAATGAGCATTTTTTTCATGTTTTTCAAAATTAATTGATTTTTTCCATGTGTTTATTGGCCAATTGTACTCCTTCTGAGAAGTGTTTATTCATTTCAGTTGCCCATTTTTTGACTGGGTTTTTATTCTGGGGAGCCAGTTTTGTTTTGTTTTTTTTAGTTCTTTACATATTCTTAATGTTAGTCTTCTGTCTGTGGAATAGGTGCTAATTTTTTCCCATTCTTTAGATTGTCTTTTCACTTTCTTGGATACTTCCTATGCTGTACAGCAGCTTTTTAATTTGACACCAACCCATTTGTTGATTCTTGGTATTATTTCTTGTGCCACTAGGGTTCTGTTCTTGCTTACACCTATGTCTTCAAGAATTGTACCCACTTTGTCTTCCAGTAGACAGAATGTCTTCCAGTAGGCAGACAAATGTCTCAGAAACATTTTAATATGAATGCTAATTTGTTTCACTTATACTACTAGCTTATTGAAAAGACAGTTTTCTGTTACTGTATTTTTTCTTTTTTGAAAGACTCTGGTTTATGATTTGCACTTAGAGTAGATACTTTGAAGAGAACAATACACATGTAACTATTGTTATTCTCCTATTATTTTTTTATAAATTTTTGTTTTATTTTTTCATAAAATAAAAAGAAAGAAAATACAAAATTTATAAAATAAAGCTGCTTACCTCATGGCAGCCAGGAAGTAGAGATTCAAAGAAGAAGCCAGAGAGGGAGATACATACACCCTTCTAGGTCACACCCCCAGTGATGCGTATCTTCTGACCAGGCCCCACCTCCCAACATCAAGGCAGTTATTGTGCCCCAGAATCACCTTCCACAAACCCCACCTATGAGAGCATAAGGATTTGGGGGACCCTGGGTTATCATTCTCAGCTCCTTTTAGACAGCACATGCTCCTACGAGTCCAAGACTCTGGAATAATTGGCAACTATCTTTCCTGAATATGAGATAGCCATTGGTTTACAAAGGGCAGATGAGCTAAAGGGATCTTCAGCATTATGTGAGTGAAGCCTTTCCCATTTTCTCAGAGCTAAGTTATCTGGACAGCCAGGAAAAGGTGGAATAATTAATCGGAAGGAATTGATATTGTTCAGTGGAAATAGAATGAATGGACAATTGGAAAGCAAAGTGTGCATTTTATGGAACTGATGGTTGTGGAAATACACTTCTAAAACTGGCATAATTATTCTACTCTTTGAACTGATTACAGTTTATTTGTACTCTTTTTATTTGCAAAAGCTGTGATTGCATGAATAATGTAACAAAATATGAGTTCTGTGTAAGGGCTCAGTTAGTTGATCTAAATCTCTTTTTGCCCAAAGGCATTCTTTCATTTACATATTGAAAAATCTATGAGATAAAAAATAGGAAAATCACAGTATCACAGAAGTATTGCATTTAAATTATTTTCTCAATTACACCTGGTTTTCAGAATAAAAATTTTCTCAAACCCTAACTTTAACTGTAGAAGATTTCATGTAAAAAACTGATGTAAATGTCATTATATTGTATACCTAAAATGTACCAACACAATTAATTTTAAAAACCTGATGTAACCAGTTTCTACAGACAAAAAAAAAAAAAAAAAAAAAAAAAAAAAA